TCACAAAAGTATTAAGGTACGATAATCAAAAAGTCAATAGTTTACGAATTATTTAACATTTTGTGTCAATATGTACCAAAATAAAGTGTAAAATATCTCGAAAACTATGGGTTTTTTGGTATCTCTACCTTAATACTTTTATATGCAAAATAATTAGAGGAATCACGTTATCTAAAAAAAATTACATAATTCCATTTTAAAAAGTGGAGGTGACCTTCATATCTTTTTAGCGCCTCCACTTAGGAAAAAAACAACGTGACTAAAACGTGTCCCCCTCGATACCGTTCCATTTTTCTTTGAAATATTTTTGTCTACTGGATTTAGTTTTCGAGATATTTGAAAGTTTCAGGTTAAAAAATTCACCCTGTATATGTTTATATAAAAATTGTCGTTTAAGACAAAAATAAAATGAAATAAAAAAATTCTTCTCTCTCTCTCTCTCTGTTTCTTTTTTTCTCATTTTTCTTTCCTTTTTTATCTCTAATGTGCAAAAAATTTCCTGCCTACAAATTAAACAAATAATATATATATATGATGCATTCCATGCCAAATGCGCCACTCGAAAACTTTTGGATTTTTGATTTGGCTGAAATTTTGATATATTATAGTACCCATCGCAAGAAGCTATCATGATGTTTTTTAAATTTTTTTATCAACATAATCATGAAATATGAATTTTTTTTTAAACTCGCATTTTTCAAAATTCGCAATTTTCAAATGCCTATAACTTTGCGAAAAATAATCCAAATAAAACGTTTTTTTAAAATTGTGTTTTTCCTCTAGTTTTAAAAAAAAATATCAAGAAATGTTTCAAAATTGTTTTTTAATCTTTTTTTTAATTTAATGTAAAAAATTATTAATTTTATAAAGTATGACACATTTAATTTTTTTTTTAAATTCTCATAAAAACTTAGATTTATTTGATGATTTTTAAGACTAATTTGATCGTGGGCAAAATTTTCTTTCTATTTTTTTCGAATTAATTTTTTTTTAATTTTGCATTTTTTTACACGATAAAATAATATATAGGTATAAACTAATGACTTTTTCATTTCCTAAAATTTTCGGTTTATTTTCAATGTATAATAACTTATTTTTTTATATTTACCTATTTAAAAAAAAAGTGTTTCCGTGATTGATATTACTTTTATACTAAAATTATTGTTTTCTTATTAAGAAATTTTTTACAATATAATTTTTCATTTTTATAAATTGTTATTATTGTCCAATCTTATTTGTAAGAGTACGGCTACACTTCTGCATGCAAGAATTAAGCTTGCATGTACAATTACTAAAGTAATTGTAATTTTACATGCAACAATTGTACATGCAAGCTTAATTCTTGCATGCAGAAGTGTAGCCCTACTCTTACAAATAAGATTGGGGACAATAATAACAATTTATAAAAATGAAAAATTATATTGTAAAAAATTTCATAATAAGAAAACGATAATTTTAGTATAAAAGTAATATCAATCACAGAAACACTTTTTTTTAAATAGGTAAATATAAAAAAATAAGTTATTACATTGAAAATAAACCAAAAATTTTAAAAAATGAAGAAGTCACGAGTTTATACCTATATATTATTTTATCGTGTAAAAAAATGCAAAATTAAAAAAAAAATTAATTTGAAAAAAATAGAAAGAAAAATTTGCCCACGATCAAATTAGTCTTAAAAATCATTAAATAAATCTAAGTTTTTATGAGAATTTTTTAAAACAAATTAAACGTGTCATACTTAAAAAATTAATAATTTTTTACATTAAAAAAAAAAAAGATTCAAAAACAATTTTGAAACTTTTCTTGATATTTTTTTTAAACTAGAGAAAAAACGCAATTTAAAAAAAAACGTTTTATTTGGATTATTTTTCGCAAAGTTATAGGCATTTGAAAATTACAAATTTTGAAAAATGCAAATTTTTAAAAAAATTCATATCTTATAACTATATTGATAAAAAAATTCAAAAAAAATCATGATAGTTTCTTGCGATGGGTTAGTACCCATAATATATCAAAATTTCAGCCAAATCAAAAATCCAAAAGTTTTTGA